GGGGGGGGGACGGGAGAGGGAGAGAGGGAGAGAGGAGGGGCGTTTCGACGGGCGACGAGATGCCTCGGGGAAAGGGAGATGAAGGCAAGCAAAAAATGGACAGGGGGCGTGGGTTGGGGGGAGAGAGGGGAGCATTTCTGGCGGTGCCCCTGACACGGCCGGGCGCGCGATGGCCGCACTTGGCCGTGCTCGGGCGGCCACAGCCGGCACCACACATACACACACACGTCACACACACACGTACAAGCACATACAAGCACATACAAGCACACAAGCCAGGGGCCATTTTGGCGCGGGCGGCCCGCAGGGCGGGCGAAACGGCGGCACCCGCGACCATGTGACCATTTTCATGGCTCGGCTCCCATGCAGATCCGGCCGCCGAGACTGGGGACGGGGTGGGGGGCTCGTGTGCGGTCCGTGTGTGCGCGTGTGTATTCCCGCGCACAAGCAGGCGCGGGCACGGATCGCACGGGCGCAGCGAGGGCTTCATCAACCCCCCAGCCGCGGGCACGATCTACGGCGCCAGCACACCTCTCGCCCCTCCCCTCCCCCCCTCCCCCCTTGTTCCACCTCCCTCATCCTTCCTCTTCCAATCCGGGTGCTCTGCTCTTTCGCCCCTTCGTGATGAACGTTTCCTGCCTTCGCCTAGGCTCCCGGGTCGGGAGGCCAGCCTTCCTCCCTGCCCGGGCACTGTCGGCCGTCAGCGTGGGCGCGCGATCGTACTCCTCGACCGGCGTGATGGCCACCCGGGCGGAGGCCGCCGCCGCTGACGACGACGACGACGACGACGAGCTCGCCCACCCCGCCCTCACCCCCCTGGATGAGGTCCCAGCTGTCAAGTGCCAGCTAGTCAAGCAGGCCCTGGAGCTGATCAAGAGCCCAAACTTGCTTGTAGCCCCCTCCCCAGATAGGGCGCCTCGCAATGGGCTCTTCTCCCTGTGGAAGCCGCCCGGCTTGACGTCCTTCTATTGCCTGGAGGTGATGGGCCGGTCACTTGCGAGTGATCTGATCCGGCGCATCGAGGCCGGGGAGTTCCCCCCGGCTGGGGGGTCCCCGTCGGCCAAGGGCTCTTCACCGGCCGGGCGGCCACCGGAAGAGGAGGAAACCATGCCGGCACACCTGGCCGCCAGGAAGGTGGCTCGAGGCCTGCGGGTCGGTCATGGCGGCACGCTGGACCCCCTGGCATCGGGTGTGCTGGTGGTCGGCGTCGGACGGGAAGGCTGCCGGAACCTGACCGGCGCGCTGACCGAGCACCGGAAGTCCTATGTGGCGCGGCTGCGCCTCGGCGTGTCGACTAGCACCTCGGATCGCGATGGGGCGGCCCTCTGGGGGTCGGCCATGCACTCGGCTTCCGACGAGCAGCCCCCCGAGGGGGATGCCTTCACGGGGCCTTTCAGTCGGGCGAGCCTCATCCGGCGCTTTGGCACGGCCAATTTGGCCGCCCTGCCGGTGGGCATCCTCCAGGCTGCCCTGCGGGAGCACATTGCGGCCTTGGTCGGCGATCACCTCCAGACGCCGCCGATGTGCGTCCGACCCGGCCCCTCTTCCTGCTTCTCTGCGCCAGCGCACAATGGCACACTTGCTCCCGCCGTCCTCCCCCCCCCCCCCCCCCCCCCCCCTCCCCCATGCCGTTGTCTGTGTTTTGTTCTGACGCACGGCCAACCTGCATCCCTCCCCCCCCCCCCCCCCCCCCCCCCCCCCCCCCGCCTCTTCCACCATGCCGTTGTCTGTGTTTTGTTCTGACGCACGGCCAACCTGCATCCCTTGCCCATTCTTCCCCCCCCCCACCTGCAGCCAGTCGGCCAAGCAGCGCAATGGCCTGCGCCTGTACCAGACCTTCCGGTATCTGCTGGAGCATGGCCACATCGATCGGGCCCTGCTGCAGGAGCACCACGAGGAACTGATCCTCAGTAAGAAGCGCCCGGTCACCCTGGCCAAGATCAATCGCGACAACCGCGTGGTCCGGCGGAAGCTGGCCCTGGCCGGGTTCGACTCGCCAGCCACATTGGACTATCTCGGGGCCACCTTCCTGTCCTTCGCCCTGGGCGAGCCTCAGCCCCGGCCGGATGCCGACCTGGCGCGTGCCTTCGCCGAGCGCCCTCTGGATGTGGAACTCCTCGGGCCCGAGTCCGGGCCCCACAGCAAGACCACGGCCGCCGGGTCGGCCCAGCAGGTCGACCACCGGGATATCTTCCAAATGGCCGGGTCCTACCTGCCCGAGACCAGCCAGGTGACCCTCTTTGGTGCCACGGTGCTGGATGCCCCGTCGCCCGTGCTTCCGGCCCCGGGCCCGGGGGGCGAGTCCCTCGACCAGCAGGGGCTCACCCTGGCAAGCCCCAGCGCCACGTTGAATTTGGAGCACTGCCTCGATGTGGACATCGACATCCACTGCTCCTCTGGCTTCTATGTCCGGTCTCTGATCGAGTCGGTCGGCCGTTCCCTCGGGGTGCGTGGGATTTCCCGGCCTCCTGGCGCTTGGGCACGCCCTGCTTATGTCCACAGATCATATACATATATGTTTATATGTGTGTGTGTGTGTGTGTGTGTTTTTCTTCGCGTGTTTTGCCTTTGATCCTGACACCCTGGATGTCTGTCCCTCTTCCCGCCCCCTCGCCGGGCTTGTGACTCTCCCCCCTTTTGCAGTGCGGCGCGCACATGGTTCAGCTTTGCCGGACATCGCAAGGACCCTTCGACCAGCGTGTCTCTCTCGACGTGCGTTGTTTTTCCCCTTCCCTGCCTCATGCGCCCGGCCTCCGCCGCGGTTTCGCGCGCTCTGACAAAGTTGCATGCCCCGTCCAGTTGGCCAACCTCAAGTGGAAGGACCTGGACAGATTCCTCTGAATGCCCAGGCCCCCTGTCCGGCTCGAATAATACACCCCCCTTAGACGTCCGAATTTCGGCCCAGCCGGCGCGCCGGACAAGCACATGCAAGTGTAGGGAGGCATCCGTATGTGCCCGGGCGCCAGCGAGAAGGGCACAGCGGGGGGCAGGTGAGGGCAGGGCCAAACGAAAGTCGGGCACGCGGAATCGCACGCCCGTGCGCATGCGCGCGTGAAAGGCGATCGGGGAGGGGCGGGAACGATCGACCACCGTGGATCTGAGACTCCGGAACCCGGGGCGAGCCCGTGATCCCGCGATCACGCACTGTCCGGTGTTGGTTGGACGCTCCCCCCCCCCCCTGGGCGCATCGCCTCCCTGTCTGGCTCGCGCGCCCTCGGCTGGCGGGTCCCCTGCCGGCGGGGGCGCACTTCGCGAGTCTGGCCGCGCCGGCCAACGCCCGGGCAGGGAGGGGGGGCGAATGGGGGGACGCGCCCATTGCCGAGGATACAGATCGGCCACCCTTCCCCGGGACCGGGGTTGCACCGGGGTGGGACAGCTTTTTTCCCTCCCCTTCTCTCCCTGCCCCGTGCTCCTGTCTCATCCCTGTCTTTTCTTCCCGCTTCTGCCCGTCTTCCCGTTGACGATGGCCTTTTTTCGCGCGCTCCTGGACAAGATCGACCCGCCCCTGGACTTCAAGGGGCAGCAGCTTGCTGAGCAAATCCAGTTCTGGGGGAGCGTCGTGGCAATGGTGTGTCCTTCTTGCCCTTTCCGCTGCTCCCTCGGCCTGCCTCTCCTTCTCTCTCTCTCTCTCTCTCTATGTCTTTCTCCCGACCAGAGGGCCTGGATGCTGACCTCCTGGCCAATGGCCGACATCTTGGCTTCCCTCTGCCATGTGCATGCCTGTCTTCTGCGTGCCCTCTCCGCAGACCCTCACCGTGGTGTACACCTTGGTCACGGGGAAATTCATCCCCGACGCCTTCTACCTGTTTCTCGCCTGCTTTGGCCTCCTGGCCGTGGTGCGTGCACATGCTCTCGCCCGTGCTGCGCTTGCTTGTCCTCCCGTCCCTCGCAGCCGGTGTACCTGCCCGCTGACGCCAGTGTCCCACTCTCACTCCTGACACCACTACCGCTGCCATCGCCGCCGCCGCCGCCGCCGCCGCCGCCGCCGCCGCCGCCGCCGCCGCCGCCGCCGCCGCCGCCGCCGCCGCCGAAAGATCACCGTCCCCTCGTGGCCCTTCTTCCGGAAGAACCCCATCCCTTGGGCCGCGAGCGAGGGAGCCTCTGGCGCTGGCTCCGAGGAGGAGGCTCGCCCGATCGAGGACACCGCCGTCTCGTCAACCGTCGAGACAGCCACCTCGGGCGTCACCGTCGCCAGACGCTGAGGGAGGAAATAGACTGGGCCCTTTGCTTTGATTGCTTTTCTTTTGTCTGGTGTCGGCCTCCCTCGCGCACGCCCGCGCGCTCGCGCGCCTTCACCCATGCCTCAATGTTTCACATGCTCACGGGCGGAGCAATCTCCGTTTTTCGTCGGGGACAGGGACGTGGGGCACTCGTTCCAGACCAGGAACCATATGTCGCAAGTATGTATTCCCCCGTGAGGGAGCCCTCCCCATACCGTCGGGGGCGTAGCTCAAATGGTAGAGCGGCCGCTTAGCATGCGGCAGGCAGGGGGATCGATACCCTCCGCCTCCATTTTTTTGACACTTCCCCCAACTGGCCGCAGTCCCCGGTTCGACGTTCCCGCCATTTTCCGCCCCCCCCCCGACCCGCCCCTGGACTAAGGACAGAGGAGGTTTATTTTTTCCGAGCGCGGCCTGGCCCGTGCCCCGCTCGCCGTGGCGGGAACTAGCCCCCTCTCCTTCTTCCTCCCCCCCCCCTGCCCTTTTCCTGTTCCCTGGCCTGTCCGTCCGATCCGCCTGCCTTCCCATTTTCTGTGCCCCCCTCCTCTCTCTCGCTCTCGCTCTCCCTCCCCCCCCCTCTCTCTCTCTCTCTCTCTCTCTCTCTCCTTGCTGCGGTCTCGCCACGGTCCTGCGCCCCGCGCCTGCTCTGCGGCCGACAGAAGTCTGCCCGTCTGTGCGCCCCTCGCCCCTCGTACGCGTTTGACGCGCCACCCCCCCGCGCCCCTCTGACTTGCCCGCCGCCTGTGCCCCATTCGCAGGATGTCCTGCTAGCTGTCTTGCCATGGGAGGAACACACTCAAGGCCACCGGGGTCCCTTCTCCGTACGCACTTCGCCATCTGCCCCTGGTCGTTTGCCCCCAGCTGGCGTACTCACCATGCATGGGTTCCCCTGCCTCGCGGTCCGCCCCCCCCCCCTTCTCGCATCTGCCAGCCTCGGAGCGCAGCTCCTGGAGGCAGCGGCACAAGGCGAGTGTGACCTCGGCTCTCGGTGACGCCCACACCCTGGTGTCCTACCTCACAGCCGGGACGCTGCCGCTCTTTGCCGGACGCTGCCTGGCCCCCCTGGCACAGGACCTCACCATCCAGGAGCCCTCCGTCTATGAGGCCCACCACTGCATCATCTCGGCCGTCCTGTATGTCCTTTGCTCGCCCTGCCCAGCCCTCTCCCCCTCGCTCTTTTTCTCCGTAGACCCCCCCCTCCCGCGGCTCGGCGGCTGACCTGCTTCGCACAGTGACACGGACATCACCTTTCTGGAGCGCGCGGCCAAGGGGTTCCCCCTGCAATATTCGGACCCCGATGTGGTGGGGCACCTGTTCCCCCCGGTGGAGGGCCCCCCCCTGCCGGCGTCGACCGCCCTCCCGCCCATGCGCCATCCCCAGGAGCTGATCTTCGGCTTCGCCCCCTTGCACATCGCCATCGCCCAGTGGTGGGTGGCTGTGCGTGGGCTCTTCTTGGATGGCACCCCGCCCGCCAGCCTCCTGGGTGCGCCCTGCTCCCCCGCCCCCCCCCCCCCCCCGCGAACGCGCTCACGGCAGTTCGCCCTCCAGTGCCTGGAACAATCAACATCCCCCACCGCCTCCCTGTCCGGCTTCCCGGCGGGCCCCGGTCGTGAGCGACCTGCACAACCC